GCAGGACTGGAAGTTGCAGTGGGTGAGGGAGGGAGGGAGTGAGGGAGGAAGGAAGGAAGGAAGGAAGGAAGGAAGGAAGGGGAAGGAAGGAAGGAAAGGGAAGGAAGGAAGGGGTTCAAGTTATTCCTGCCCCCTGGCAGAGTTACACCCAACCAAATTGTCTAAGATGTTATCACTGATGTTTGTTTGTAATTTATGTCAATTTGTAGTAGGCTACACGTTCTGAGGGCTTATCCTATGCCAGGCACTTTCTGGTTTTGCATTTCATCCACTCAACAAGTTTATATGGAAAATACTAGTATTATCCCCCATTTTCTTAATGAGAAAACTAATACATAGAGAGGTTAACTAGCTTGCCCAAGGTCACTCAGTTAATGAGATTGAATCCCTGATTCCGAATCCCAAGTTCTCTACATCAAGTTTTCCAAGACCCGAGAAATATATTTTGTACATTTCCTTTCTCCACAAAACTCTAAGAATAGACACTCAATATCCCAGGGACCTTCTGCAACAGGATCCCAGTTGCAAAAGCATTATCTCTACCTCACTACTTTCTGGCAGGCCTTGAAGGACCACTCAGCAAAAATTAAGTGGAAAGGCTATGGCTGGGCACAGTGGCTCATGCTTGTAATTCCAGCACTTTGGGAGGTTGAGGTGGGCAGATCATGAGGTCAGTTCAAGATCATCCTGGTCAACATGGTGAAATCCCGTCTCTACTAAAAATACAAAAATTAGCTCGGTGTGGTGGCGCACGCCTATAGTCCCAGCTACTCAGGAGGCTGAGGCAGGAGAATCACTTAAACCTGGGAGGCAGAGGTTGCAGTGAGCTGAGATTGTGCCACTGCACACCAGCCTGGTGACAGAACGAGGAAAAAAAAAAAAGAAAAGAAAGGCTAGAAGAAGGCATTTCAGGAAGAGAAACCGGGAGAGAGGGCCCTGATGGGCCCAGATGATGGCTGCAGCAGGAGCTAGTGCGGGTACCAGGCTGGGGAGTCAACTTTGTGTGGAGGAATGGAAAGGAGCCACAGGCCTGGGGGCGTGCCGGGGCCAACTCATGGAGGCTGAAGGCCAGTTCAATTTATCCTCCAGGCTTTGAGTAGGAGAGTAATACTCCAAAAGAGGTGTATGAGTTTGGCCTGGAGGGGAAAAGATGGACAATAAAGAAGGCAGCTGGGAGGATAGAATAACATTCAGACAGTTTCGGATGATGTGACAGAAACATGCAGAGAGAAGTATTTCAAAGACACCTTCAAGGAAATCTAGCATTTTGGAGTCTGGGCCATCTGCCCCCTACCCAAGGATTAATATCCGAATAAGTGTTTTGGGTGGGGTAGGGGCAGGGCAGGAAGATAGAGGGAGCAAGAAAACATTGGACAGGCTGAGCCTTCTAGACCTCGAACAGACACTGTGGTCTGAGGGCTGCCAGAAGCCCTGGGGGAGACAGGGAGGGCTGCCAGCTGACGGCTCCTGTATGAAGATGGCAGAGGGCTCTGAGCTGGACACTGGCCTGCAGACTCTGGCCCGTGAGGCCCAGGCTATGGGCTCCACTTGGTCTTTGAGTGGGTGGGGAGACTGCAGATCAGGGGCCTGCAGCAGCATTTCATGTATTTCAATTCTTTGAAATGATTCCTCTCCCTGGGTGGCAGAAAGAAAAAAAAAAAAAGCAAACAAGCAAAATATAGTTAAGAACTCAAGAACTGCCAATTCAGAAACTCTAATCTGTTCAAAAAGTTCAGTCCCTTTCTTTCAGAAGCCAAAAACCCATTTCCATCTCAGCTTGTATATGTCTGCGTGTCTGAGAGCTAGGGAGGGAGACAGAATGAGTATAAGAGGGAGGCCGCCGAGATGCCTTTGCTCCTGTGTGTGAGCTACTGCTCTGTGGACCTGTGTGTGTTGCACACACATTTGTGGCTGTTTCTCAGGCCTGTGTGCCTTGAACTTTCAAACCATAACAGAAACACTGAAGCTTGGCAAAGATATCATAGGAATAATTATCTAATTTCAGAAGGTGTTATTATAATACCTACATGATGCGTAACGAACTTAACAATGTTCACGTTATATTCACCTACTCTGAGCTGTAGACGCACAATGCCAAGTTTTACTCTCAGAAGTTTCTCCAAAACACAAGGATAGAACAGGCCCTAAAAAAAGTTCTTCAGGGAATATTCCCCCCCACCAGCTTCCTCACGGATTGAGATGTTTGGCTGGGTAGATGTCTATCAGGAAATTGCTGGAAGGGGGACAGAGCTTATCTTGGGATGGCAACTGTTCCTCCCAGAATCCCCATTCCTCCCCAGAAGAGAAGACATGGAACTGATAAGGAACTAGCAGCCGTATTGGGGTGACATAGGCAGACAGGCTTTGCCTGAAGTCTGAGGGGGGCTCTTGATCCACTCAGCTCCCCCTTTTCCCCAGGGGCCTGAATTGGACCGAGAGACTGAGTATGAGGGGAATGTTTGCTGTTTGCTGCTGTTCCCTGTTGACTTTAGCCAGTAGCTCTGTTTACAAACCCAGGTTGGTTTTCCCAGCACAGTTAATTAGACCAAAGACATCTGGTGAAGGCTGGGGAGGGCATCTGCTCAGAGCCTTCCCCCCACACCCTGCAGCCTGCAGCCACGGCCCAGTGCAGGGCAGAACGGCTATATCGGTACAGACCGGACTCCAACAGACCCAGTGTTCTCAGAGGAACCGTGGCTTCCTTCACCCTGCCTTTCCATGCTTTCCAAGTCGGACTGGGACCCAACTCCCCAGGCCGTAAAGGACAAGGAGTCCGGGCTGGAAGGCCCACCTCAGTAGGACCATAGGCTGGAGATCAGGGACTCAGCCCTCTCCTCTGTCCTTCCATGTTCAAAGAAACAGGGCAGAAATCCCTGTCCCTTTCTTATCACAGAGACCCTGCATTCTGCAGGAACGCCAGACCTCTTCAGGGAAAATCTCCCCTCCCTGGGCAGCCCCTGCCACCTCCACAGAAAGGAGCCTCTGGACCCTTCTCCTCCCTGACCATTCCCCAGTCAATCTCTGACACCTTAAGGAGGACAGAGATTAACTTGGCCCAGAGGGAGGCAGGAAGCTGCCCTGGAAGGTGAGAGGATCTAGGTAGACAGTTTCAGAGCGGTGGGGAAGCGGAGAGCTGCGAGGGGGAGGGGCAGCGGCTTATCTCTCCCAGGAGGGGGGAGCTCACTCCAAACAGCTAATGCACTGGCGTGTGAAAGCCCCTCAATTAGCACTAATGATGCAATCAGGGAGGGAGGAGGAGGGACCGAAGTTCTGGTGGCGTCAGCACCAACTTACACACAAGGTACACAGTCCCTTCATCGGACACAATGGCCCCTTCAGACACGCCGAGGCACACACTCCACAGACAGCCGTCCGTGGGCACAAACGCACTCTCTGCGCAAGCTACTAGCATGCACATGGCTCCCGATACGCAGCTGACCCCGTCAGACCCCAGGCATCCTGGGGGGTAAGGAGCGACCCCCAGCTACATTTGGGGCATTAGGGGCAAGGAAAATCAGAAACACCTGGTAAAAGGAATTCAACAGGGCATCTCTGGCGAGATCACGAGCCTTCCCCTACACTTAGAGCTCCTGTCCCACGCGCGCTCGCAGGTGCTGGCCCGGCTGCGCCCGCCTCCCCCTCACCATCACCCCAACCCGGAATCCGGGGCTTAGCCAGAAGCTGCCACCCCCGGCCCCACCCCCGAGAGGCGCCTTCCCTGCGCCCAACCCGCCCCGAGGCCCCCGGTCCCAGGAGGGAGCGCTGAGATCACTGGGATCTCCGCACCCCGGACCCAGCTGCTCGTCCCCTCCGGAGCCCGTTACCCGCCGGCCTCGCCCCTTTATCTTCCCCCCACGCTTCCCGGCCGGCTCCGTTATCCACCTCCCGGTCCCATTATCCCGCCGCCCCGGACCCGTTATCCGCCTTCGCGTTGGGCGCCGAGCCCCCGCTCGCCTCCGGCAGCCGCCGCCCCCTCCCCCGCTCCCCAGCCGGAGCTCTGGGGGCCGCGGGCTGGGCAGGGCCGGAGCCGCCTCCTCGCCGCTTCCCAGGCCCGGACGGCCGCGGGAGGAGGTCCCGCTGTCAGTCAGCGGGGAAGGCCGGGCCGGGCGGCCGGAGGGGGCGGCGCCGAGGACGGGCTCCGGCCGGGAGCCGGGAGGCGGAGGCGGAGGCAGAGGCGGAGGGGCGGGGGCGGAGGCGGCTCTGGGCCTTATAAGCTGCGGGGGCAGGGCGGCAGGGAGGCAAGTGTCAGGCCGATGTGTCGCCCGCGAGGGGCCGGGGTCGGGGCCGCCGGGACCATGCGCGCGGGCTGGGCAGGGGGCCGGCGGGGCGCAGAGCAGAGCCGCCTGGGAGCCTGAGCTGCCCGGGGCCGGGGCCCGGGAGCCGCGCGGGGCCGGCCGGCCGGGGGGAGGGGAGCGATGCGGCGCCGGCGGGCGGCAGTGGCCGCGGGTTTCTGCGCCTCCTTCCTGCTGGGCTCCGTCCTCAACGTGCTCTTCGCTCCGGGCTCGGAGCCTCCGCGGCCAGGCCAGTCCCCTGAGCCTTCGCCGGCCCCGGGCCCGGGCCGTCGCGGGGGTCGCGGGGAGCTGGCCCGGCAGATCCGGGCGCGCTACGAGGAGGTGCAGCGCTATTCCCGCGGGGGGTCCGGGCCCGGGGCGGGCCGGCCGGAGCGGCGGCGCCTGATGGACCTGGCTCCGGGCGGGCCGGGCCTGCAGCGCCCCCGGTCCCCTTGGGCCCGGCCCCTGCCCGACGGCGCCCCGGGCTGGCCCCCGGCTCCTGGCCCAGGCTCCCCCGGCCCGGGCCAGCGCCTGGGCTGCGCCGCGCTTCGCAATGTGTCCGGCGCTCAGTACGTGGGCTCAGGCTACACCAAGGCCGTGTACCGGGTCCGCCTGCCTGGCGGCGCCGCGGTGGCGCTCAAGGCGGTGGACTTCAGCGGCCACGATCTGGGCAGCTGCGTGCGCGAGTTCGGGGTACGGAGGGGCTGCTATCGGCTGGCGGCCCACAAGCTGCTTAAGGAGATGGTGCTGCTGGAGCGGCTGCGGCACCCCAACGTGCTGCAGGTACGAGGGTGGGGGACTCGGGGGTGACGGTGTTGGCTGGGAGTGCCCAAGCCCTTGTCACTCTGGCTGGAAGAGAACCCCTTGATCTGGAGTGCCAGTGAGTACGCCCAGGCTAAGCTAGATGCAGAAACCGAACCATGGCGCTTCCCACTGCACCACCCTGCTTCTCACCCCTGGGTGGGCATCCCTTTACCAAAGAACTCCTGGGTTTCTCGGCATTGACACATCTCTTCAAGACAGGCCAGGACGGAGGCTCCCAAAACTCAGGGTGTGGGGCAGTCCATTAAGACAGAAGTTTCTCCTCCAGGCTGGAGTTGGGATGTTGAACACCAGGGATATTACCCCAACCAAAATGACCCTAAGCCAAGACACTTAAGTCAGAATTCCAACTGTGTGGTAATGTCCCCCTTCTTGATGAAACTTCTCTCAACTTCCAGTGACTTTGAAAATGAGACGGGACAGCAATGGGGTTGGGAAGGGCTGGAAAGAGACCATGTGTCAGGCTTGACTCCTAGAGAGTCTCCCTGCCCCCCCACACACACACCTCCAGCTCCCCCCAGAAGACACTGAAGGGGGCTGGGGAGCAGGCTAAAAAAAGGGAGCACAGCCCTTTCCAGAAGTGAACCGAGGGTTCCCCAGGCCTTAAAAGGGGTCCTTGAGCTCCTATAGAAGCCTCAAGGTCTCAGCTCAGTGGACAGACTGGCAGCCTGAGGGTCTAAACGTCACACTGTCTGAGTGTATATAGCCAAGAGGCTGGAAGGTTGAGAAGGCCAAATGCCCAGGTTCCTACTCCACGGGACTCTGCCTCACCTGTTCACTGGAGACACACAGGAGAGAGAGGTGAAACCCCCACCTTGTCCCCTCCAAGCTAGACTTAAAGTGAGCCTCTCACCACCCCAGCACCACCCTAGCACACTCTAAGTCCTCTCTGTCAGGTCTCCCTCCATCCTAAGATCAGCCAGACTGTGGCTTTTGCACGTCTAAGTAAACTGAGAGGGGAATCCTGACCACTCTTGGTGAACATGGGGTGTGTGCAGCCTCTCCAGAGGATAAATCTTGCACACACCTTCCACCTCCCAGCCCACTCAAACTAACCTTTCTGCACCCAGCAGAAATGACTGGAAACCCAGGAGTCCTTCTCTCCTTTCCTCAGGAGTGAGATGGTACCCCAGCCCTGGAGAGATGGGTGGACATCGTAGAATAGGAGAGATTGGCCCAAAAGCTATTTAAGCTCCTGTTGGCTCCCAGTCTCCCCTCACTCCGCCCCCCACCTTGTATTCCCCGACCCTGGTCAGACACTTGTGACCAGGCCCTGGGCCCTGCACTGGCCTCAGGAGCTCGGCAGAACCAGCAGTGGCGTGTGGTGAAGCCTGCCCAGTTCACACTGTGTCTGCAGCTTCAGGGAGTGAGCCCCTGGTTACGTGGCCATTCTGACTGGGAGGACCTTGTGCTCTTTGCTTCCCAGGGACTCTTGGGAACTTTTTGGAAACTCTAGGGTGTCAGCCAGATCCTGAGGGGGTGGAGAGGTCTTGAGTGACTTAGCAGGACATAAAGTCTTAGTTACTTGACTCAAGACCCCCTCCTTCGGAAGGGTTTGATGTTTGATGTGCTTTCCTACCTCTTAAGAAACGTCTCCCTCACTCTCCCCACCCAAACTTCCTGACCAGAGTTCAGCTAACGCCCCACAGGATGGTCCTCCTCTGAAATATATCAGATATATCACAGGATAGTCCTCCTCTGAAATGTCAGGGCCCCAGCCTAATTCTGAAGGCACCAAAGAAAAAATTCCAACAGAATAGTTTTCACCCTTCCCTTACCAAACCAAGCCCAGGGTTATCTGGGATTGGCTGTGTGACTCTATTGCAGAGTCCTAAAGGAGAGTTAGTGGCACCAGGGGACAAAGGTTGCTAAGGGAGAGAGGGTCGCAGGTCCTTTCTACCCAGGAAAAGTGAAAAGGGGGCCTTTTAAGTGTGAGTTTAGGGGCTGCTTTGAGGGTGGGTCTCCCCCATTCGTCTTGTGACCGCCAGGCTGGGGTCCCTCTGGCTTCCTCAGCAGCCGTCTTTGCTGGCAGGGAAGCCGACAAGGGAATCTCCCTGCCTCCCTACACCTTCAGGGCAGGTGTACAGGGAACTCAAAATAATGCAGCTTTAATTCCTCTGAATCATTTAAAATTTCAAAACCGTTTGACTGTTTGCTGAACTGGGGAGGAGCCAGAGAACATTTCTAGAGTTCCTGGTCGTGCAAGCCCAACACCCTCCCTCTCTGAGCAGCCCAAAGTTGGTGCTGTGGCTTCTAATAGAAAATGCCCAGGCTAGCAGGCCCCGCGGCACCTCCCAGGGCTTTTTCTTGTCAAGGGGACTGCCTGGGCGAGATCTTTCTATCCATCTTCTTTGACCCCTCCCCATCCTGCCCCTGACACACGCGCACACACACTCCCTCACGTGACTGGCTCCTCTATACCCTAGGGCCAAAGGGCACAAGGGTCTTCCCTCCCCTCAACCTCTCCCCACCTCTCCCTGTCATCCTGGGGCCCCCAGGCCTGCCTGGGCCCAGATTCTGACCCTGCTAGAGTATATTTCTTTTCCCAGCTGAACAAAAGATATGACTGAAATGTTCAGCCTCACGCTTCCTGGGGGGGTTAATGGTGTCTTTTGATTTTTTCCTGAGGGGTGTTGATTAATACCTCGTTAACAGCGCATTTAACGACCTCCGGGTGTTTAATAACCTTCAGAAGTTTCCCACAAAGGCTCAGACTCTGGGCAAGAAAATGAGAACCAGGCCCCAGGGCTGTCCCCCTTACCTTTTCCCCACCCCACCAGGGTCTGGGGCCTCCCTGGATTGATGGGGAGGGGATGGAGAGAGAAAAAGAGGGTGCCTGAAGCTGCCCCAGCCCCCCAAGTCACAGCCCAAGAGTGAGGCCTTTCCCCATGCCAACAGGATGATGGGAACTGAGGGGGCACTCCCTGGAGTGGCTCTGGGGAGGGTGTGAGTTATGGCATGAGGGTGACAGTGCACAGAGATATCCAGGCCTTGGGCTCAGCATCCCTATCCCTCCACCACATAGCTCCCCTCTCCCTCTAATCGGGCCTGGACAGCTCGGCCTTTGCATTTCTACCCCACAGGGTGCTGGTGGTTTTGAGCACTGTACAAGCCCCTAGCTGCTGTGGAGTGTGTCAGAAGAGCCAGGGGGAAGCCTGTGGATGCTGTTTAGGTGGGAGTGACAGTCAGGCTGTACTTCCCAGAAGTCCCTGGGCAGTACAGAGCTTCTCCCCAGATGATATACAGCAGACAGCTCCCTGTGACCATAACCCCAAAAGAACTGATCCTTCTACCAGGCTGGATGGCTCACGCCTGTAATCCCAGTACTTTGGGAGGCCAAGAGGGGTGGATCACGAGGTCAGGAGCTCAAGACCAGCCTGACCAACATGGAGAAACTCCATCTCTACTAAAAATACAAAAATCACCTCGGCGTGCGTGGTGGTGCATCCCTGTGATCCTAGCTACTTGGGAGGCTGAGGCAGGTTGAACCCAGGAGGTGGAGGTTGCAGTGAGCTGAGATCGTGCCACTGCACTCCAGCCTGGGCAATACTCCATCTCAAAAAAAAAAAAAAAAGAAAGAAATAGAACTGATCTTCCAAGAGGAACCATCACTCACTACCAACCCCACTGACACGTCGCTCATATGTAAAACACACCCAAGGATGTGCTGTCAGGTGCCTTATTCTTATCAACACTTGTTACCAATCTGAGAGAACTTGCTTTTCCTCCCTTAAGATCCAGGTAGAGAAAACTGAAGCTGCCAGAAGGTAGAAATGATGAGGGATAGATACAGATTGGAGGAGAGGAGGAGGGATAATGGCCAACCGTTTGCTGGCTTGTGTATTAGCAAACAGCATTCTTAGAAAAAACAAGCTGTGGCTGAGCATAGTGGCTCATGCCTGTAATCCCAGCACTTTGGGAGGCTGAGGCGGGCAGGTCAGGAGTTCAAGGCCAGCCTGGCCAACATGGTAAAACCCTGTTTCTACTAAAAATACAAAAATTAGCCAGGCATGGTGGCAAATGCCTATAATCCCAGCTACTTGGGAGGCTGAGGCAGTAGAATCACTTCAACCCAGGAGGCAGAGGTTGCAGTGAGTCAAGATCATGCCACTGCACTCCAGCCTGGGCCACAGAGTAAGACTATCTCAAAAAAAAAAAAAAAGAAAGAAAAAGAAAAAGAAAAAAGAGGAAAACAGGTTGTGGAATCCGAGTGGCATAAATTCACTTCTTAGCTCCTGCACTGATCAGCTATGTGACCTTATACAGGCAACTTAACCTCTCTGAGTCAGCTTCCTCACCTGAAGTTGGAGACAATAATGGCACCTACTGCACCCATTAGGGTTATTATAAGAATTGAGTTATGCACATAGAGCAATTTAGCGTGGTGCCTGGCATGTGGTTAACTCACAGTGGCCAGCTCTGTCCATTCACCTGAGTCAGAAGGGGCGAGGGGCTGATGTGGTCAATAGGAACTCTGACTGCAGGGAAGAGAGGGCAAGCTTCCGAGGCTATGCTGCCATTCTCTTCTGGCCTGAGCTGAAGCAAAGGCCTAGGGATGGCTTTGGGGGAGAGAAAGTCCTGCCCTTCCCTGTCCCCACCCCACCCTGTGACCTAATGACCTGCCCTCGGCTTTCCCCAGCTCTATGGCTACTGCTTCCAGGACAGTGAGGACATCCCAGACACCCTGACCACTATCACGGAGCTGGGCGCCCCTGTCGAAATGATCCAGCTGCTGCAGACTTCCTGGGAGGATCGATTCCGAGTGAGTGCAGAGGAGGGATCGGGCCCTGGGCTCCTTGCTGGGAAGGTTCTCCCTTAGAAGGCCAGCCCTCCAGAGCAGCTTCCACTCCTCCTCCGCCCTGGGAGAGGGAGGGGAGGAAGGCGCACAGGCTGACTCAACCACCGGTCAAAGGGTTCAAAAAAGAAGCAAGACATAGAGGATCCTGACACTCTGTGCTCTTGCCCTCCTCACCCCTCCCCATGCACATGTATACACCAGCTTGTGGGGGCTGGCACCCTAAAGAGGGGAACACACACTCACACTCAGCCTGGCTGCAGGAGGGCCAGGTCCTAGAACTAGGAAAGACCTTGGTATCATCTTGACCTTCCCACTATTTCCATACACTGAACTAAAACTACATTCAGGATGCAACCTCAGGGAAGAGACGCAGTATCCCCAGACCCTCGCTGCTGCCGTTCCCCACCCACCCACTCCATATTATTTGCAGGGTCAGGCTAGTCGAGAGTGAATAGGAAATCACTGGTCTCCTCTCCAAGGCTACTGACCTTGGCCTTTGTTAAGCACTGGGGCCTATAGAAGAGAAGTGCCAACCCCCACAAGCGAAGTCCAGATTCCAAAAGGAGGGTGTCCTTGAGCCCCACAGACCCACACCCAGGAGCGATGCAGTGAGCAGTCTTTTTTCTGCCCCTCAGATCTGCCTGAGCCTGGGCCGCCTCCTCCACCACCTGGCCCACTCCCCACTGGGCTCCGTCACTCTGCTGGACTTCCGCCCTCGACAGTTTGTGCTGGTGGATGGGGAGCTGAAGGTGACGGACCTGGATGACGCACGTGTGGAGGAGACGCCGTGTGCCGCCAGTGCTGACTGCATACTCGAGTTCCCAGCCAGGAACTTCACCCTGCCCTGCTCAGCCCAGGGCTGGTGCGAGGGCATGAACGAGAAGCGGAACCTCTATAATGCCTACAGGTGACCTCCACCCCCCACTCAGGAACTCCATCGAGGGAGAATGGGCCAGGAGGGCATGGCAGGGAGAGAGCCAACGTGGAGCCCAGCTAGGGCAGAAGACTCAGCCTTGACCAGTGGAGCCGTAGAGCAGGGGAAGGCTTCCACCCTGCCCAGAACGGAATATTCAGGCTTCTAATGGGGAGGCTAAAAATAGACAGCTCCAAGGAGAATCTGGGTTAGAGGGTGGCAGCTGGAGGCTTCTTAAAATAGTGTTGGACTCAGAGCCTAGGGCTGGTGAAACTGGCACCACCGCCCCACCCCCACCCCCGACCCCTGCTTCCCACCTGAGCCCTTGTGCTCTGGGAAGTTCCTCACTGGGCCCCAACCATGGGGCTGCTCTGACACCAGGAGTCAGGCAGGGGATTATGTGAGGCTGGGAGGGTGGGCAAGCCCTGGGAAGGGTTGGAAAGCAGGCCCCTGGTTTCAGTTAGTATGAAGTTAGGTGTGGTCTTAGCGTGTGTGCAGAACCCTCTCCCAAGACTGAGTAGACTTCACGGCGCACCTGGGATTCTGCCTGGTTGCTAGGCCTGAGGGTTCCAGCTCCCTGGCCAGGTTAGCGTTCTACCCCTCTGTCTCTAAAGGCTGGGCCCCTGAGCCACTGGTGTCCTCTGTCCTGAGCCACTGGTGTCCTCTGTCATAGGTTTTTCTTCACATACCTCCTGCCTCACAGTGCCCCGCCTTCGCTGCGGCCTCTACTGGACGGCATTGTCAATGCCACAGGTGAGCTCTCCAGGGCCCATCTGCTTCCATGCACCTGCCCCTCCCCCAGCAAAAGTGGGGAGAAAAACAACTCAGGGCAGCACGGGTCCAGAAACCATCATTTCCTAAGGTGGCATTCTGTAGCACACCCTCCCTCCCTGGCCCTCTGTTCACTGGGGTACAGGCTCCAGAGGCAGAGGAGGGAGCAACTGGCTGCTGGCTTCAGGGAGGAGTGGGAGCTCTGGGCATCTCATCTTAGCCACACTGTACTCTGCAGGAGAGCTCACCTGGGGGGTGGACGAGACCCTGGCCCAGCTGGAGAAGGTGCTGCACCTGTACCGGAGCGGGCAGTATCTGCAGAACTTCACAGCAAGCAGCAGTGCTGGTGAGTGGCCCGACCTGATCAGCAGGGAAGCAGGAAAAGGGTGGCTGGTGAGTGACCCTGCCCAACTAGGCTGAGGGGCTCACCTTTTCTCTGGGGACCCTTGTCTCCAAAGGCCACTCTAGGGGCTCACATAGAGTCATGGAGAGGCTGACATGGAGTAATTTGAGGTTCCATCTCTAGCTGAGCTACAGCAACTATAATCCTGCCTTCAGTTTGGGGGTGGGCACTGACTCCCCTACTCTGGATGGCTCCAAACCCTATCATATATTGGCTCTGTGACTTTGAGCGAGTTACTCCTTGAACCTCCGTTTCCTCATCTGTGAATTGGGTTCACTTTTACCCACCTTACCAAATTCTTATGGGAATTAAATGTCGGGTGAAATGTGTGAAAGCAATTAGTGCACTTCCTATGCCACAGCTAGAACACAGCATATGTTTGCTTCTCTTTGCTTCCTCTAACCTCCTGCAGCTTGAAGGGCACTGGACAGTAGGGGAGGCCCATGCTGAACCAGCCAAGAAGCCCCAGGGCAGGGGGAGAATTCTAGCCCCTGGTAACAGACTGTGGTCCTTCTGCTGAAGCCCTGGGGTTTGGCTGGGGTTGGCCAGGGTTGAGGGGTGAGAAGACTCCATATTCAGGGAGCTCTGGCTAGTCTTAGGGGTGGAGGAGCCCTGTTAGCCCTGTAAATAAAGTTTAACGAGGTGAACAATGGCTGGCTCTGTCCCTGAGGATGCCGTTTATGGGGCTGTAAATCACAGTCAGCCCTGGACTTTGGTCTAGTCCCTGGTAGGAGAAGGAGGCAGGAGGGCGGGGTGGCCAGAGGCCCAGGGCTTCTGCATTATCAGTCCAAACCTGGGGCTCTCCAGGCAGTGGGAAAGACAGGAGCAAACAAGATGACAGCAGCTGAGCCGCTCACTGATTGTGAATTTTCAGTTTCTGAGGCTCTCTCTGTATAATGAGATCTCAGATTTTTCCTGCAGCCCCCTCCCCACTCTAGCCATAGATTTTTTGCATTTTAGTCCATTTGCATGCTTTTTAACTTCAAAAGACCCTGACTCCCTTCCGTCCCAGGCCTGTCTGTGGAACTTGCCTAACTTCTCTCCCCAAGGCCAGGAGAAAATGTGAATGAGGATTGCTCTGACTCCTTTGCAGGCCACACTGGATGCTGGTTAGAAATGCAGGTTCTCAGTTCCACCCCAGACCTACAGAATCAGAATCTGCATTTGGCCAGGCATGGTGGCTCACACCTATAATCCCAGCACTTTGGGAGGCTGAGATGGGAGGATCCCTTGGGCCCGTGATTTCAAGGCTGCAGTGAACTATGATTGTGCCACTGTACTCTAGTTTGGGCAACAGAGAGAGACCCCATCAAAAAAAAAGGTTTCTGTGGACCTTAGTTTCCTC